AGGAATCTATTTTTAGTTAATTAATATTTTTAAATTTTTTTATTTATTTCTAGTGTTTTAATCAAAGTTAGAAGCAGTTTAGCGATTTTTTATGTTTTAAGTTAAGTGAAGGGACTTGTGGTGTATTTTCATAATGTTTTAACTTGAGTGGGGGCAGTTTTGGTCTTTTTTTTTTATCATTATGTAATAAAAGACTTGGGATGTTAGGATTTTGAACACTTTTGGAACATGAATAATAAAAATAGACTTGAATAATATTAGCAAACAATATCTAGTTACTTTTTTGTATAAGAAAAGCCAGTTGCATTCAAATCTAGCCTTTTTTACGGGTATTGAATTGTTTTTTTGCATCTTTTCTCTATTTTCTTGCATCAAATAGTATCATAGCCTAGGTTTTCTTTCAATAACAAAGCTGTGAATCTATAGCCAAGTCTAAGGTTTGTTGATTGTAGGCTAAGTTTTTCTAAATCAGCCTAGAATTTGATTTTTTTTCAGCTACGTTTTGATGGTTCTTTGTCTAAGATTTGTGATTTCGGTGAACCTATGGTAGCAACAAGAGGTTGAGGTAGGGGTGCTCATATGGATCCACTTAGTGATGAGTGGGACAAGATATAGAGTATATGCGAACAAGTTCAACAACTTTACAAGGCGGCTTGTAGGCATCGATAGTGGGCGAGATGAAGTTTTGTCTGTTTATGATGATGTTGAGTTCAACCGTTTTCACTATCATGCTTCACGTAATGAGTCGAGTGAAAAGGAATATGATCAAGTATGGGCGGCACTCATAATCCATAGGTCTAAAAGTAGATATTCCTGATTTTGAAGAAAAGTCACAGCCCAACGACTTTATAGATTAGTTAAATACAATCGATCGGGTATGTGGTTACATGGATGTGTCAGAGAATAAAAATGTGAACATTATTGCCATTAAATTGAAGAAAGGTGCTTCAGTATGGTGGGACCAGCTGAGAGCAAGGCAAGAGAAAGAATAAGGAAGTCGGAAATTAAGACTTGAAAGAAGATGAAAAATAAGTTAAATAAAAAGTACCTTCTTGAAAATTATTTACAATCTTTTTATCAAAAGATACATGCATTGCACCATGGAGATAGGTCGTGGATGAATGCACATATGAGTTTTGTGAGTGTATAGAAACCAATGCTCTTGACTTGAATTGAAAGATAGGCAAAATGCAAGCCAATATACTTGAAAATCTTATAATTCACGTGCAATTACAACTCGAAATTTCAAAGTACAGCTAGGTCAGTCTCTTTACAACGAGATAATGATATCTAAGTACACTCAAGAGATATGATACAACTCAATTAGGTTCCCTTATACATGGACAAAATAAACC